ATGGCAAGGTGCTTAATTATAGACATAATCTTGTTCCTTTTTATGATTTCTGTAGTTTTTTTTTCCTCTGAATCTCATTGAGTGGTTTCTGATTTTGTTCAGGCTGGTAAATATGTTTGGTTAACTTACAAAGAAGTATATGATACTGTACTGAATGTTGGAGAATCTATATATAGTCGTGGAATTAAGAAAGTGAGGATTTTTTTTTCTAATATATATTACAGTTTACTTGCTTTTATTCACTTGTCATAGTATAGAAAGGCTTACCTTTACAGTTGCTCATGTTCAGGGGGCACGATGTGGAATATATGGGATAAATTGCACTAATTGGGTTGTAAGCATGCAGGTAACTTTTGATGATTCAGATCTATATACATACATACATATGTTCTTTTCATTGGCCTTCACTTTTTTGTTTTAAAAACTAAAAGCTTTATTATAATCCAAATTACGTTCTATAATTTTGAAGTTTTATATGCTGCAAGGATATTCAACTAATTGCATTAAATCTTCTGTAGGCCTGCAATGCTCATGGCCTTCATTGTGTTCCTTTATATGACACTTTAGGTAATACATTTTGTTCCAGTTTTATTTTGTAAAGATCTTTTTTAATAAATTGATTACATAACAAGTAAACAAGCAACATTTTTTCAGGTGCTGGTGCAGTGAAATACATCATATGTCATGCAGAAGTCTCAATTATATTTGCAGAAGCAACTAAAATTTCTGAGGTAAGTAATTCTACATCGGTCATTAAGAAAAAATTATGATGCTTAATTGTTATATACTATTCTGGTCATGCTTATATGTTGTCACTTACAAAAACGTTCTCACTGTTTATAGGTGTTAAAAACTTTTCCTGATACTGAGAAGTACTTGAAAAGTAAGTTTTATTTATCTGCTTTTCTCATAATAAATATATAAATATAAATAACCCTCTCATGAGTTAATATGTTTTGTCTTATTTTACAGCTCTTGTTAGCTTTAGCACAATCACAACTGAGCAGAAGTTAGTTGCTGAAAAATGTGGTTTGGAAATTTATTCTTGGGAAGAATTTTTACATCTGGTAAGCAGATCTGATATTCTTAACTCATTATATTGTGTAAATTTGTTTGTTTTTTTTATTATTATAATTATAATAATCTGTATATGAATAATGTGGTTGGTTGATTAATAGTCAAAGGAAGTTGAAGACAGAGTTGAGCTGCCATTGAAGACTAGAAGTGACATCTGTACAATCATGTATACAAGTGGAACTACTGGTGAACCAAAAGGAGTCATGTTAACCAATGAAAGCATTCTTTCAATGTTGTCTGGAGTAAATCACCACCTTGACAGCATGAGTGAAGAGGTTACTATTAAATATTAATCAACACACAGCCTAAATTACATCTATTTTATTACATCACATTTTCTTATCCTTTTTAATTTAATCCCACTGTCTTTTAATTTTTTTTTCTTCTTCTGGTTTTTATCAGTTCCAAGTGAGCGATGTATTTTTTTCGTATCTACCTCTTGCCCATATATTCGATCGAGTCATTGAAGAATTATTCATTTCCACTGGTGCCTCAATAGGATTTTGGCGTGGGGTAAGTCATAATCACATTAAAAAATTTTGTAATATGTGTGTGTGTGTGTGTGTATATATATATATATATATATATATATGTATGTATGTTTATGTCATATAGACCATTAAAGTTTTATTTATTTATTTTCCATTCACCTTTTGATCATTAAAGGTTTTTAGAACTTAACTTGATGTTTTGTATTCATTTTATCGTTGTAACATACTGTAGCATGCTTTGTATGTTTTTTTCCCTACATGGCATCCTATGTGCCACGTGGCACATACATGGTATCGTATGTCTCTGCCACATGGACGCCACGTAGACAGAAAACCTATAAAACATGCTCGAACCAGTAAAAGCCTTAATGGTCAAAAGGGTAGATGGGAAAAGTTTCAATGGTCATATATAACATCATTTATAGATATATACGTATGTGTGTGTAACTGTAACTGTGTATATACACTCACACTCACATGCATTGCATGTATATATATTGTGATGTAAGAATTCTTTTGATACTGAATTTCAGGACATAAAATTATTGATAGACGATGTGAAAGAGCTAAAGCCAACAGTGTTCTGTGCTGTGCCACGTGTGCTAGACAGAATCTATTCAGGGTTGCTGGACAAAATTTCTTCAGGCGGTTTTCTCAAGCATACTTTATTTAACATTGCATATACATAGTGAGTTTTTTGTTATATATAGATAGTTTTTTTCATTCATATGTATACAAAAAGTTGCATATTAAAAAAGTTGACTTTTATATCTGCAGCAAACTGCATAACATGATTAGAGGGTACAAACATGAAGAGGCAGCACCAAGGTTTGACAAGATTATTTTTAGTAAGGTAATGCATGTAGTTGTTGTTTTTTTTTTTTTGTAATCATTAGATATGTAGATGGTATTTTAATCATTTAATTTATGTTTAAAAAAAAAAATAGGTGAAAGAAGGTCTAGGAGGAAAAATGCGACTTATCTTGTCTGGAGCAGCACCTCTTTCTCCTTCTGTGGAAACCTTCTTAAGAGTGGTCACATGTGCTCATGTTCTTCAAGGATACGGTATAAAATAAATTTATTACAAAAGTAAAAACTAAAAACTACATTTTTGGTCCTTGTACAAAGTAAATATATTGTCTTTTGGAAGTAGTCATTTAAAATGATTAATTAATTAATTATTAAATACATATGTTGGATTTTTTTTTGTTTTTATAGGTTTAACAGAAACGTGTGCGGGATCATTTGTTGCACAACCAAATGAACTATCAATGAGTGGGACTGTGGGCCCACCATTACCAAATGTGGATGTATGTTTGGTTTCAGTTCCTGAAATGGGATACGATGCTCTGGGGATGGGGCCCACTACACCTCCACGTGGAGAAATATTATTACGTGGAAATTCATTATTCTCCGGATACTATAAACGTCAAGACCTCACCAAAGAAGTTCTTGTGGATGGATGGTTCCACACAGGTATTTTTGTAATTCTTCCATTGTCAGCTTTTGCATTTAAGTAATGCCAAATACTTTTTCAAAAGTGGTCATTAAACTCAATTATTTTGTTGAACCTAAAAATTAATTTACAAGCCACACATGTAGACCCCACATAAGGGGCAAGTGGCTGAAAAGATCTAGACTAGAGACACGTTATTTACCAAAAAATAGTCTTTTGTTTTTGTATATACCAAAACTATTTTCTTGAAAGAAAAAAAAAAGACTAAAATTAAAGGTTTTAGGGGATATTGGGGAGTGGCAACCGGATGGAAGCATGAAAATCATTGACCGAAAAAAGAATATTTTTAAGCTTTCACAAGGCGAGTATGTCTCCGTCGAGAATCTAGAAAGCATATTCTCCCTTGTTCCCAGCATTGATTCGGTAAATATTCTTTATATATGTTTTTTTTTTTTTTTGTTAATTATGTTGCTCTTTCACCGTGTTATGGTCATTGAAGGGCAAAATGGTGATTTTACATGTTTCAGGTATGGGTATATGGAAACAGCTTTGAATCTTTCCTTGTTGCGGTTGTGAACCCAAACAAAGAATCACTTGAACAATGGGCAGTGGAAAACGGGGTGGATGGTGATTTCTGTACCATTTGTGAAAACCCCAAAACAAATGCTTATATTCTTGGAGAGCTAACAAACATTGCTAAACAGAAAAAGGTTTATCTTTATTTATTTATTTATTTATATATATGTATAATTTATGAAAGTGTAAATCACATTTTTGGTCCCAAAAAGCTTTCACTTGCAATTTTTGTCCGTGTTAAAAATCAAATGACTATATTTTGGGACCAAATTTGCAAAAATCAGCTGTGTTCAAGGTCCCAAAAAATAGTCATTTTACTTGGAACAGGGACCAAAAACGTTACAAGAAGCTCTCAAATAAGGACCAAAGTTGCAGGCGAAAACTTGTTAGGACCAAAATTGTAATTTACTCTATAAATTATAATAACTAATTCTGAATTTTGATGGCAGTTGAAAGGTTTTGAATTTGTGAAAGCTGTTCATCTTGATCCTGTACCATTTGACATGGATCGTGATCTGCTAACTCCAACCTTCAAAAAGAAGAGAGCCCAATTTCTTAAATACTACCAGGTAACTAATTACCTGGTTTCTTTCCTTTAGTATTCAAATAATCATGGATTTTTTTTTTTTTTTATCATATAATAATTTATTGAAACCATTTTGCAGAATGTGGTGGATGGTATGTATAAAAGCAGCTGATAATCAAGATATTTTCAGATGCCTCTAATATAATATAAATAAACAATATATTTTCTATGAGGATCCAAATGATTATTTTCAGCTACTACCAATCAGTTTATATTTCTACTTCAAACTTTGAAGTAGTTTGTTCTTTGATTGCTATCAAAGTGTGTTGTAGTATTTCATACATTTTATATATGTATATCCTAAATTATTATAATGAGTATTATGGATCAAGCATTTAATCCGTGGTTATTTCTTTTTGAGTTAAAGTTGTTTGTTGGAATGTATGTCAAATAATCATTAGCCTCAAAGGAATCAAAATCTGTGTACAAACTCATAAGACTTTTTCATAATTTACAAACCTTCCAAGAATGTCCATAGTGAGTTAAGTCTGAATGTAGATCGTTATACATGCCTATATACGTGAAAAATTGTTGTTTGATTGTAAGGGTAAATTGATCATTTTCAGTTTAAAAAAGAAACATATCTTTATTTATACAACACTTCATACAGAAGCCCTTTGCTCAAATAAAATGAATCCAAATCTAGACTTGTTCATAAATTACAACAAGATAATCTTCTAAAAATCTCTGTATAAAAGAAACATGTATTATGTATAGCACCTTATTCAAGATGATCATCACTAAAATCGGGTTCCACCGGCTTCTATGGGAACCACAGGCGGCAATAATTTTGTCCCATGTGAATGGTTCCTCCTTAAACTATGTAAAATATTGGCGGCAAACCTAGACGCATAAATGGCGGCTCCAAAACTTGGGGAGGCGGTTTCACCACCTTTTGCCAATGCTTCCAGCAGTCATTTTTCTTCCTCCCGCAACGCCACCTCTTGCTTCCTTCTACAGTGTCTACGCCATGCCACCTGTATAAAACAAGCTCCCCATGTCTTCCATTGTTGTGAGTAAAAACAAGCTCCCCATGTCTTCCATTGTTGTGAGTAGTACCTGTATATAGTATACTAGTTTATAACCCGTGGGAAACACGGTTAAAAAATTAATTAAACTTTCTAAGTAAAAACTAAAAACTATTAATTAATAATTTTAAATAACTTATTAATTAAAAGATATTTTTTTAGTAATATATAAAATTATAATCGTTGGTTCAAATAAATACTAAAAATATATCATCTTATAATTTGTATAAATTTTATTTTATTATAATTGGTATAAATTTTATTTTATTTTTATTCTAATATTATTAATTTAATGTAATTAAAATATGATTTAAATTTTGAAATTTGAAATGGAGAATTAATAAATTGACAAGTGTCATGATATTAATTACCCGTACCAATAGATTGACAAGTGTCATGATATTAATTACAATGCCTAACATGATGACACATGCTAAAAGAACTATTCTTTTATTAGTATAGGGAGATAGGAGACTAGTTTATATCCCATTGAAATCACGGTTACAAAATTAATTAAACTTTTATAGTAAAAACCTCAAATTTATTAATTAATTATTTTAAATAAATTATTAATTACGAGATATTTTATTAGTTATGTGAAATTATAATCGTTGATTCAAATAAATATATAAATTAATCTTTAATATATATTAGATATTTTTTATTTGTGAATTAATGAAAACAATAATATAACATCTAAAATTTAAAACGGAGAATAAATATATTAACAAATAACATCACATTAATATTAATTAGGAGGTATAATAAATTTAAAATGAAGAATTAATAGATTGACAAATATCATCATATTAATTAAGAGGTCTAATATAGTGACACATAACAAAATAACTACTCTTTTATTAGTATAGAGATTCATATCAAGGTTTATTAATAAATACGATGGAATATTCTATAGCATTATAAACAATAAAACATATAATAGTTGAATATTCTTTTAAATAATTACAACTTATTTAATAACACAATTGTGAAACTTGGTTAGTATTTAGTGACATTTTCCCTTAAAATAGATTAACTTAACACGTAACACGTTAAAAATTACCTTATTCACAAAAAAAGAAAGTAGGTTGCTACTATTTATCAACATTTTTTATATAGCAAGAAAATAGGTTGGTTGTTATTACCTGAAAGTATGTTGGAAGTGCCTGCTATGCAAACGCCTAAATTGTGAAGCAACAAATCTAAGATGTTCAACCTTCAAAGCAAAACCTTCAACATCTGTAAGCGGTTTAGCAGTTCTTGTTGAAATGAGAAGAGTTGAAGACAAATTAGGATCCAAAGCCCACATCAGCAATTCATCTCCACAAAAATCACCAGCTTTTAAATAACTTGAATTAAAAAAACCACTTCTCCCACCATTTGTTGTCATTGTCAACAACTCCCCATGCATCACAAACAAGATGTCATCCACTGGATCTCCCTCACGAACTATGCAACTGTTTTCTGTGTATAGAACCGGTTTTGAACAGTCACACATTACATCCAACAATCTTTCGTCCATTATTTCAAACATTGGCACCTGCGTACGTTGTGTATCAAAATATGTTGATTTGTTATCCAATTGAAGTTACTGAGAAGACCTTTTTTTTGGTTATTTGCTGATATTATTTGTTAAAAAAATGTAAGTATGTTGCTATTTTTTGTAAAGATGATGCAAGTATTAATAGCACTATTGCTAGATCAGGACCGTTATACCCTTGAAATAAACCAATAAACAGGTGGAAATCTAACCTTGGTTTTTGATACAGACTCACCACGAAACTAAGAGTTAGTTGTCCAAGTTCACCTTCTAATTTACCTGTTAAGAAATTAGAATAATAGGGACACAAAATTATTCTGAAGTATCACAGAATAATACAAACTTTGAGAAACCAAAAAAAACTGACTTTTCATTCTCAATTTCCAGTACATAACGTGAAAACAAATAACCGCCACTCTACCAGTTCCCATGATCCTATTTTAAGTGGAGAACCAACTAACTGTTCTGATAAGTTCAAATTAATTAATAAAGACATAAAATTAAAACATGCTTGGAATTAAAAATAGTAGCTTGTAACTGAATCAAATTGATCCACTTCTAATTTGAGCCTGGCGGTGTTGGGTCAATGGTTGGAGCCTTCCTATCATCCTCTCCCTCTGCAGAAAAGTTTGTCCTCAAACATGGAATTGGCTCATCAGGATCAAAGTAAGGTTGTAGGTCGGCTACATTAAAAGTAGCAGCAAGGCCATAAGTACTTGGAAGATAAATCTGATATGCGTTGTCATTGACTTTGGCAAGGACCTTGAAGGGTCCGTCAGATCGAGGACTCAGTTTAGAGCGGCATTTTGATGGAAACCTTTCCTTGCGTAAATGTATCCATACAAGATCACCCGGTTGAAACAAGATGTGTTTGCGGCCTTTGTCACGACGATACTTGAGAAGCTCGTTATTTCTAGTGATTCGATTGTGCACCTGTTGATGGATGGATTTAATATCAGTTGCCAAATCACTGGCCTGCTGACTGAATTTGGAAGTCGTATCAAGGACTGTCAAATCCAGTGGGGTGGAAGGATTCAAACCATACACGACCATACAAGGACTGATTCCAGTTGTTTTATTCGGGGCCCGATTGTAAGCAAATTCAGCCCGAGGGAGTAACTTGTCCCACTGTTTCAGGTTGGTGGTAATAAGGGCACGTAATAATGAGCCAAGAGTGCGATTTTTAACCTCGGTATGTCCATTAGTTTGCGGATGGCTTGATGTAACGACCCGTCTCTGGTATGTTGTTTTTAGTATTTATTTTTGAAGTTTGTAGAGGAACTCGGCGAGTCTATGTCCCGACTCGTCGAGTAGGGTCGCGTTGTTGATCAGCTTATAGATCGGCGACTCGGCGAGTCCATATTCGGGACTCGGCGAGTCGGCCTGCCAGGTTGAAACCCTAAATCTCCGGGTTTGCACCCTATTTAAACCACCTTATCAGCCCCAAACTCGCCTCCTTCACCTCAGAGAGCTGTGAGAAACCCTAAACCCATCCCTTGATTGATTGAAGTGTCTTTGTGTGGATTCTTGAAGGCTTGAAGAAGAAGAAGAAGAAAGGAACAAAGAGAAGAGGTGTAGAGCAAAGATCCAAGGTTAAAATCAGAGTTCTTTGAGGTATTTCTCGGAATCCTCCTGTTTTATGCTTAAAATCTCCATTAGAACATTTCTAGGGTTAGTTTGATGTATTTTTCCAACCTTATAGTTGATTGGATGCCTTAATAGGTCGAGATATCCTTAGATCTGTTCATTTGGGAGTTGTAGAGCCCAGATCTATTGCCTTTTTGAAGTTGCTTTGTATGAGAACCCTAGATCGAGCCTTTATCATGCTTTTTGAACCTTATTATCTTCTTGGATGCTTATGTACACGTAAAGATAGAATCTTTACGTGTTAATCGAACTAAGGAAGCCAGTTCTATAAGTTTTAGACGCTGGATTCAAGCAGAATCGAGTTTTGAGTAGCTGCATGGATGCGACTCGGCGAGTCGGAAGAACGACTCGGCGAGTCAAGCCGCGAGTCCCGATTTTTCCCCTTTTGGGTGATGTCGAGTGGGAACCTGTGAGTGGGAGAGTGGACTCAGTGAGTTGAAGGGAAGACTCAGTGATGGAAGGACTCGACGAATTGTTCATACAACTCGGCGAGTCCAAGGCAATCTTTTATGATTCAAGAACAACTCGTCGAGTTGTTCATACGACTCGGCGAGTCGGATGCAGATGACCTGAGTGTTGATATAGAGCGGGAACTCGTCGAGTGTATGCCATACTCGACGAGTAGCAGCGAGCAGGGTTGAGAAATGAGAGTAGGGACTCGGCGAGTTGGCGGCCCAACTCGGCGAGTCAGGTCAACTGTAAAGTTGACTTTGACTGGGAGAGTTGACTTTAGCTAGGGGTAAAAGATTCATTTACCCCAATGCAGTTATTAGTAATTTGATTGAGTGTATTTGTGGATTTGTAGCCGGGGAGATACCGGAGCAGCAACAGATAGTTCCCGGATCCACACACTCAGCAGCCAGATCACAAGGTGAGTTTCCTTTCAGTAGGAACGGGTCTAAGGCCACAATGCCGGCCCGTTTAGCTAACAGTAGTATCCAGACTTCGGTCCGATGCAGATTCTAGTATGTTTGATGCCTTCGTGGCTCAGGCAGTATTTTGTGTTATGTGTTCCGGGTTACATCCCGATGTAGTATGCTATCTATGTACACATGTTAGTTGATATGCTTATGTGATGCTATGTTCAGTATGTTCCAGAATTCTGTCCGATGCAGTCAGTTCCGGACTTCGGTCCGATGCAGTTAGTTCCAAACTTTGGTCCGATGCAGGAGGCTAGGCCTCAGTAGTTCTGGATGTTGATCCGATGTAGAGGGCAAGGCCCTGGTTAGTTCCGGACTTTGGTCCGATGCAGTGGGCAAGGCCCAGTATGTGTTTATATGTATTATATGTTATGTGGTAGTTTGGGGGAGCTCACTAAGTTTCGTGCTTACAGTTTCAGTTTTGGTTTCAGGTACTTCCGCAAGCAAAGGGAAGAGCTCGGGTTGCCGTCCTGGGAGTTGTTTTGATTTTCATAGATGTGATTGATATAGTCTTGATACAGTTTACTCATAACACTTTACTTTTGTTTGTGAGATATTGACGTACGAGTTTACCTTATGATTTTATCATGGTGTTTTAGTAATTATTCAACAAAAATTTTTGGGTCGTATTTTGGGATGTTTCAAGTTGGTATCAGAGCCTTGGTTTGAGCGATTTGGGCACACTTTCGGGTGTGTCTGAACTCAAACTAAGGAAGTGGTATAAAGTTTTCAAGAGAAAAACCATGTTTAGAAAAATATTTTGAGAAAAGAAAACAATTTTAGGAAAAGTATAAGGAAAAGAGTTTTAGAAAAAGTAAAAACAAAATTAAAAAAAAAAGAGAGAGAAAAGGGTTTGGTGCATGCAATCGGCCGAGCTCAAGTAAGTACTCCCAAACTACCCATACATGTTACTTTATGTTTATCAGTTTTTAGTTTCAGTAGAACAGCATGCTAGAATAGGACTAAGGATCTAGGAGGATGCCTTATGTGCCTGCTTTATGTGTTTCAGCTTCGCGAGATCTGCATGCTAGTATTGAAGTAGACAGTAGTAGGATAGCTTGTTAGGTTATGCCTGATAGTATAAGGTTAGCATTGTATGCTAGAACAATATCTCGTTATGTGAATAGATTTGCTTGAGTAAATTACTGTATCCGAATGCTGCTTGCTTCGTGCTTTGTGGGACTCCGAGTGACGGGAGTTAGTCATTAGGTGAATACGGCACATCGCATGTGACAAGGGTTGAATAATCTCAG